CGCCGGGCGGGTCAGAAGGCCAGGCGAAGCAACACCGGGCGGGTGGCGGCACTGGGCAAAGCAACACTGGGCGTAGCAATCCCAGGCGGGCCAGGGCGCCTGGCGTAGCAACATTGGGTGGACCACGACGCCGGGCGTAGTAACACTGGGTGGGCCACGACGCCGGGCGAAGCAACACTGGATGGGTGGGGACTCCAGGCATAGCAGCACTGGGTGGGTGACGGCACTGGGCGTAGTGACGCCGGGTGGGTCAGGACGCCAGGCGTGGTAATACCAGGCGGGTGACGACGCCGAGCGTAGCGACGCCGGGCGAGTGACGGCACCGGGCGCAACAACACTGGGTGGGTGACGGCACCGGGCGTAGCAACACCGGGCGGGTGACGGCACTGGGCGAAGCAGCACTGGGCGAGCGACGGCACTGGGCGTAGTGACGCCGGGCGGATCAGGACGCCGGGCGTAGTAATACCAGGCGGATGACGACGCCGAGCGTAGCGACGGCACCGGGCGCAACAACACTGGACATATAGCAACACTGGCCGGGCCAGGACACTGGGCGTAGCAGCGCCGGGCGGGTGACGATGCCGGGCATAGCAACAACGGGCGAGTGGGGACCCCAGGCGTAGCAACGCTGGGCGAGCGACGACACTGGGCGTAGCGACACCGGACGGACCAGGACGCCGGGCGAAGCAGCACTGGGCGGGTGACGGCACCGTACGTAGCGACACTGGGCGGGTGACGGCACCGTACGTAGCGACACTGGGTGGGTCAGGAAGCCGAGCGTAGCAACACCGGGCGAGTGATGGTACCGGGCGTAGCAACACCGGGCGAGCGACGGCACTGGGCGTAGCGACGCCGGGCGAAACAGCACTGGATGGGCCAGGACGCCGGACATGGCGACGCCAGGCACGACGACACCAGCCGGGCGGCGACGCTGCGCACAGCGAAACCGGGTGGGTCATGGCACTGGCCGAGCAGCGAGACCGGACGGGTGGCGACGCCAGCCGGGCGACGGAACCAGGCGGGCCACGACGCCGAGCGGCCGACGGCGCTGGATCCAATGAGACCGGGCGAGTGGCGGCGCCGGGCGTAGCAACACTGGGCGGGCCATAGCCGGCCAGGTGTAGCGCGACACCGGGCGGCCCACGACGCCAATCAGACAATGCGACTGGGCGGGGAACGGCGCTGGGTGGGTGGTGACGCCGCCCGTTGAGCAATCGGGGGCCGGGTGGACAACGACACCGGGCGCAGTGATCCCGGGGGTGGGTCGCGGCGCTGGTTGGGCAACGAGACCGGGCGGGCCACGGCGATGGGCAGGTCGCGACGCTAGGTGCAATCAGACCGGGTGGGCGCAATGAGCACGAGTCAAGCAATCAGACCGGGCGGACAACGACGATGGGCGGGCCACGGCCGCCCGGCGTAATGACACTGGGCAGGCCACAACGCCGGGCGTGACGACGCCAGGCATAATAACCGGTCGGACGGGCCACGACGCCGGGCAGGCGGGCAACGAGACCCCGGGCCGACAAAACGACGATGGGCATGGCCATAGCCGGATTGTGCGGCCGACCACGCCGGGTGGGTCATCACACACACACACACACTAGGTGGGTAGCGAGACTAGCCGTGCGACAGGGGGGCAGACGCGCAGCGAGACCGGGCGACCAGCGGCGCCAGCCGGGTCACGACGATGGGCGGGCCACGACGCCAGTCGAGCAGTGGAATTGGCCCGGCAATGGCGCCGGGCAGGTCTCGCGACGATGGGCGGGCCACGACGATGGGTGCACCGAGGCTGGGCGGATGGCGACGATGGGCATAGCAACGCCAGGGGGGGGGGGGGGGCACGCCGCCAATCGGCCAATGCGACTGGGTGGGGAGCGACGCTGGGCGGGTGGTGGCCCCGCCAGTCGAGCAATCGGACTGGATGGGTTACAGCGCCGGCCGAGCAACGGGACCGGCCATGGGTCACGACGCCAGGTGCAATGGGCCTGGGTGGGTCGCGGCGACACCCGTCGGACAAGCAGACCGGGGAGAAAACGACGTTGGGCGAGCCACGGCACTGGGCGCAATGTCGTTGGGCGGGCCACGACACTGGGCGCAGTGTCACTGGGCGGGCCATGACACTGGGCGCAGTGTCACTGGGCGGGTCACGACGCCGGGCGCAGTGTCACTGGGCGGGCCACGACGCCGGGCATGACGACACCGAGTGGATGGCGTCCCTGGGTGCAGTCAGATTGAGCGAGTGGCGACACTGGGCGCAGCGATGCCAGTCGAGCGAAAGCCCGGGCGGGCCACGGCGCCGGGTGGGTGGCGACGATCGACGCAGCGAGGCTGGGAACAACGATGCTGGACGGGCCACGATGCCGGGCGCAACGACATTGGTCGGGCCACGATGCCGGGTGCGATGACATTGAGCATGACGACGCCGGGCATAATGGCGTTAGGCGGGCCATGATGCCAGGCATAACCGGACACTGGGCGGACAACGTCGATGGGCGGGTGACAGCGCCGGGCACGACGAGATTGGGCGCAGTGAGACCGGGCGCAGTGAGACCGGGCGCAGTGAGACCGGGCGCAGCGAGACTGGGCGGGTGACGACGATGGGTGCGACGACACTGGATGGGTGACGACGATGGACGCAACGACACCAGGGGCCACGACGCCAGGCAGGTCGCGACACTGGACGGGCGACGACCATGGGCGGGCACAGCGACACCGAGTGGACAACGACGCCAGATGCATGACGACACGCTGGGCGGGCGACGACGCCAGGTGCATGACCACGCTGGGCGGGCGACGACGCCGGACGTAACGACACGCTGGGCGGGTGACGGCGCCAGGTGCAACGACGTAGGGGCATGGCCATAACAACCGGGCATAACGACACCAGGCGGGCGACGACGCCGGGTGTAACGACGTTGGGCACAACGATGCCAGGGCGGCGATGGCGCGCCGGGCGCAACGACACTGGGTGGGCGACGACGCCGGGCGTAGCAACACGCTGGGCGCAATGCCACTGGCTGGGCGACGGCGTCCGGCGCGACGAGACTGGACGGGTCGCGACGTTGGGCACGCAACGAGTCCGGTTATGGGGGACGACGCTGGGTGTGGCGACGGTGGGCGCAGCGACGTTAGGTGGGTGACGGCATTGTGTGTAGCGACACCGTGTGCAACGAGGCTGGGTGGGTGACGACGCCGGGCAT